AAAAATGAGTATACTTTTGAAGGTTCGAAATGAAATATGAAATATTTTAACGGCCAGGTAGCGCAGTTGGTTAGCCAGCTTTGCAATCGTGAGGTTGCGGGTTCAAATCCCACTGCCTGCCTGGTCGTGGGGTGAGTGTCGTTGACATTCAGCTAAGGATCGTGAGTGGTCTATGCAGCCCCCCGGTCTACTCAGCCGAATACTCGAGAAATCGGGTGTGAGGGTTAAATGAGGAGCTGCACATTGCAGCAAAGTCTCGGGCGAAGAAAGTATGGTACACACTACCTTAACCGTCACTGGCTAAAAACAAATCCTTCGGCTTCCTGTAATTGGCTGGTTGCACTTGTGTAACAATATGGCTGTTGGAATACTCCGAAGTAAAATAAATGTCGCAACATTCTTCATCTCGCTAAGATCACTCTCAAACATCTGAAACATTGTCACGTGATTATGTTCACGTGTGAATAATTTACCTATCATGATCAGTATCATTAAACAATTATGGAATTGTTTCAAAGTTTTAAACCTGTTACAAGGTGTTACAGTTACATATTCAACAAAAAAATGACTTTTTGCAACTAACTCTACAGAAACACTGGCAGGCGACATAATATTATGAGCGCAAACTTCTGACCCAGACACGCTGGCATCAAGTAAAAAATACTCTTTTCATCTCATTCACCTTCCTTCATGGTCAAGGACGAGGTTCAAAAACAAATATAGGATATAAATAAAATTCATTTACGATTAAAAAGAATCCGTGATCCTGAATTAAAATAAGTTATCTATTTGTAGATGAAACTTGGTCCGTTCTCATATATAATATATATTATATGATTTAGCGGTTCATCATGACACTCTTCTGTAATGTTCACAGATCGTACGCGGTGAGCTGTACTTATACGACGATTGCTTCATCGCCAGCTTTTCAGCATTCATAATTCAACAAATATCATGAACAGGTCTTTCAAACTGCTTAGCTCTTCCTTACTAGCTTTCCATTCCTCCTCAATGTCAGCAAAGCTCTTCTTCAGTCCGGAAAGAGATGCAGTGGTGCTTTCAGCCTGTATCTTCCATGAGTTCAACTGAGCCTGAATTGTAACCATGGATAAATACAAATTTAAAAACAAGCACAAATTTTCCATATACTTGAATTATAGTTAAAGTTATTTTTGCAAGCAAGTAAATTAAAGTAACAAGAAATCACTTGGTTTTACTATTTCCACCTGAAGTCGGTCGATCTCTAAAGACTGATCTTTGTTGGTCGTCTTAAGGGCCTTTATCTCCTTGGATTGCCTGCTAAGATTCCGCTTTACTGAATTGGAATTAGAGCGGTTGTTCGATTTTATGAAACGGTACCTATATACTATGCTGGGTCGGCATGATTGGCAGTGGATGATGGACGTCTGCTTCGGCCTTGGTCTCAGAGTGCGTTGAGCTGGAGCTGAAACTGGAGCTGCAGCTGGAGCTGGAGCTGGAGCTAGAGCTGGAGCTGGAGCTGGAGTTGGAACTGGAGCTGTAACTGGAGTTGGAACTGAAGAAGTCCTCGCTACTAGGTCATCATCCAGAGGAGAGTCTAAGAAGTTCTTTCTATCCGCCTTTGGGTTCTCACTTTTGGAATTCCGAACTGCTACTTGGTTGCGGTTGTTGTGCCTCTTGACTCTAGTAAACACGTCGTTTGCCACCTGAGAGATATTGCACGATGGTGTATTTTTAAGCAAGGCAAACAACAGTGATGCCTTCGTGGCTGGAGCAATCTTAAGACTGCTCAAAGATAAAACTAATCGGTATGAAACTCGATTAAGTGATAACTTAGAACACTGATCAAGAGCATTCTTGGGTGTAACATCTTCTTTGCTTAACCCCAACACGGCAGCTAAGTCCAAGAAAAACTGTTCTTGTCCTGGCTTCTTCCTTTGCTTCACCATATTGATATGCTAGCTAAGAGAGTGTGAGTGAGTTTTCAAAAAAAAATTCAAAAATGGTGGTCGGTAATGGACCGACTGACACAATCTGACGTACACTGAGGAATGAGGATACAAGAGCTAAATCCATATACTATCTTGTACAAACAGCTAACCACACATATGGTTTTGCACAATCATCAACACAACACCAAGAACCATACACAAAAATCAAATGTGCATATGAACAACTAATTTTGTTCAAAATTTTGACAAAAAGGTGGTCGTCGGTAATGAACCGACTGACACAAAAATATTCGACTTTTAGTTTAGTATATTAGAATAAAACGATATGGTTTATATTCAGAATGATATGGTATAATGATCATTTATGATTCATTTATGATTATTCTTTTTTTTTCTTCTTGCTGTGCTCGCTTCCTTTCTCTTTCTTTTTTAGCCTCAATTCCTTTCTTAGAGGATATTTATTAGCCTTTTCACGGCTCTTCCTGGCATATTCCCTCTCTTTTTCGGCATTTTGTTGCCTCTTTCGTTTCTTGGCAGGTGTAGGGACCAGCGGTATGATCAGGGTCACAGGACTTGGTGGTTCTCCATCTGAGACCTGTGTGGTGACTGACACGGATTGTGCTGTGACAGTTTGGGTGGCAACTGTCTGTGTTGTGACTGTTGCTGTGAGGACTGTCCTGTAATTTTAAGAATTGAGTTGTGTGTGTATGCATGATTAATAATGACTTAGACTAAGCATAATATCTTTTTCAGTACGAAAACTTAGTGTTCTGCAGCTAATTTAACATGTATCTTTGAATTAAAATCTGACCTTTCTTCTACTTCAAATCGTGATATTGAATTGGTTCTGACTCTTTCTAGTTTGCTATTATATTTTTGCAATTTTCTACATCGTTGTGACATGCTATAGAAAAATTATAATTAAATTTTGCACAAATTATTTAATAACTTTAAATTGCTATCAACGATGATGATCAGGAACACATGACGTATCATCACGACGATTATTGGTCACTCGAAATGGACCCGTTAAGAATGCAATGTAAGTGCGATGGTTGTTTCTGCGTATTTGTTACCTGTTACTAATTAATCAACAGGATCAAAATTTTATTGTATCGATAAAACATGGATTTTAAGGCATAAGGAAGCATTGTTGAGTTCTGAAACCAAGTTTATTCGATTTTTTGTGAAATTTTAGGTCAGGAATGGTCATCAAAATACATTTTGAACAAGGTCGGTATTTTGGTAAATTTCTAGCTTTCTGTCAGAAAATACATCTGCGTTTCTATTAGGGGTAATTGGATATAAACTACAGTACAGCTGTACTTACACCCACATTCACAAGCATGCAAGCTCACCTGGTCCAAAGAGCGGGAAACGAAGAACAAGCTCTGCTGACGTCATAGTCAGGTGACCACAGGCTCATAATCACGTGACCTCAGACCCAATCAATTGGGTTATGGCCTGTTCAGTGTTCAGCCCCCTGTCACCCGATCTTGGGTGACGTACGACAACTCGTTCACCCAATCGATGTCTGGAAGGCTGCAAATGTTCACATGCCAAACTCACAATGGTTTTTCGGAGTTGTGCGAGATGACGATACATAGAGGCCGCAGAATTATGAGAACTACCAGATCCTGGTGGAACCTAAGCGATCCATGATATCACGACAGGCCCTACAATGTCAGAGAAAACAAGAGCTGTGGACATTCTTAACCCAATTACAACTCTTGCTGCATCTGCAATTTGAAACCAGATTTAAACCAGATCTGCTCATTCAGAGCAGACCAGCATCATAATCGACCAAACCATTAATAACTTTTAAGGTCTCAATAAGATCATCTGTACAACGTCAAATAAACCGCAACTGTACTCCGCAATTGAATACTATACTCTTAATGTAGTCTCATTGGAGCTTTGTAGACAGCTATCGTCACAGATAAGCTAAATCCCGAAACTCAACAATGTGCAGGACTAGGTGGGACGGTAAATTACAAACAAGCTTGCCCAGCCCACAATAAAAATATTTGGTCAACTGCCCAACGCAACTTGTTTCAGTTACGAACATTTTTACTGTAAAAATCCAAAATATAACACGTTATATTCAAAGTTTAACACGCTAGCACTCAATTCTAAGATACAAAATTTGAAATGAACGATTTTGGGAATATTTTACAGTTCATGCGCGCGTTTTTACTTTTTTGGCGACGTGCAATACGCCGTTTTCATTTCATTAGCAAACACTTTTTCGAAATTTTATGAAACTTTCTGCATCTATAGCAGCTCGTGGGATAATTACTGGCAAATTTCATTAAACTCATAAATACATCTTCACGAGAGGAACTTGGGGGGATATACAAATATTTCAAATCCGCGGAAGTCAAAATATTTGGTTTACCACCTAAAGATATCTGGTGCAGCGATTTTTTTATTGACTCATTTCTCGAACTTCGATTGTGGAACTTAATCCCAACAAACATGCATACTATCAGAGATCTCCTGCACTTTAAAGAAATGCTTGAGACGTTTGTGAAATCATTCCCGGATGAGCCTCTAGTGGCAGGATACAGCTGTCGAAATGGAAACTAGTTAGTAGTTACTGGACTGGAGTGGAATAAAGGCAGCGATCTCGCTGTCCAGGTGGTCAGCAACTCTGATGACCCGATAGAGAATTCTATGAAGCACACCAAGTATCCAAAGTAACTATAATCATTTCAAAAATGTGTACTGTGTAATGAAATTGTAAGAATACATTAATCCTAGCCGTTGTTTGTGGATTATGAATATTTTCTGGGAACTAATTTTCCCCAAACATTTCTGTGCAGGAATGTGTTGTCTATAGTCCCAGGAACCACCCAAAGAGTTGTAAAAGTTGCTCTGATGGATACAACTAGCTAGAGCATATTAATTTAACACTCGCCAGAGCGAAGTAGTGGAAAATATCAAAAACCGTATCCGCGTTTTCAGCACTTGTGAAATTAACTAAATTACTTACTAACTCAACTAATGAACTAAATACTAAATAAATAATAATTTAAAGAATTAACTAAATACTAATTTTCAGCTCACCTCAAGAGCAGCGCTCCCATTCCAAGCAGTGCAATGAAACAGTATAGCGCACACATAGTTCTTGACTTGTTTGTCGATGCTGTTGAGAAGAGTGTTGAACATCCCCGGATAGAGACGAGCCCAGACGGCGCCCTGTACTGCGTGATTACCCACACACAGGTTACTGGTTAACTGGAGGGCTGCTCTGATCACCTGCCGGGGTTATTTAATTATTTATTTTAATCTTTATATTTGTTTAACTAATTTTACATCTTTATTTATTTTCCGATGATTTCTTCTCCAATGACTTTTTCTCTAATTGATTTTCCTCCCTTTTAACGATCTTTCATCAAATATAAGAATGTATCTAATTGTTTATTTTACTTTGTTGGTCACGTGACGGTGAATATATTAACGGGACGGTTAACGTGTAAACAATATCAGACAATATTTTGGTAAAGTAACAAAAATAAAGAAGGCCAGCTTTGTGCCTAAATTTTATTTAGAAATTATTGTAAAAGTAGCCAGACAAATGACGATGCAGATGTTTGATTATCAGACCTGTTGTGCAGCACAATCCAACTTATGTAAGTTACAGATTACAAGAGCAGTTTCAGTGTACACTACAAAAGAACCAAACTGTATTCTCTTCTATTCCATTGAAGTTTTGAGCCTGAACAGTCAAACCCTAATTTAACCGTGGTCTATACCCGATTACCCGGGAGTTCCTTCAGTGGTGCCATTTCCATATCACCGAATCTTTATTGTACCACGTTATACAGCATGATACTTACACACAGATTACACTTACATCTCCTTCCAATAACTACTTACTTTACTTTCAAAGCGCAGTGCACACACTATTATGCTTAGCCGCATCATGATAGCACTTTTAAATAAGTTCGTATGCTAGATCCCAACTAGTGCTTGAAGATTGCCCAACATGCACTTATCATAAACTGCACACATTTCTGTTGCCGGCTAGTCTACATAATACATTCTTATATTTGACGAAAGATCGTTAAAAGGGAGGAAAATCAATTAGAGAAAAAGTCATTGGAGAAGAAATCATCGGGGACAAATCATTGAAGAACATACCATAGCTATAGAATGGATTGTCAAGCTATTTGATTGATCTGCTGGACAGAAACGGGGAATACAATCGTTTTTACCTCGATACAAAGTGGAGTATAGGTTAGAACGTAGGGTATCTTGTGTTTGACACGGTGACACTTTGTTCCTACGTCATGGTAAAAGTAAACACTGTCCAGGATACAGTCCAAGAGACCTGGGATAAGGTGGTGTGATAAGTAGCATATAACAATGGCTCTCATGTATAATTTCTCAGTTGTCATGCTCTATATCAATCATAGACCACACTATAACAACATATCTCTACTTTTATGTGAAATGTGAATTCTATAATTATTCTAGCTTGATGCTAATATTGCACCATGCTAAGAAAACCAGAAAACGAGCTCTATTTGGACTAGCTAAAACTCAATAAAGATAAATGTTGTTCAAGCACACTGCACAGATGTGCTAGCTAAACTGTGAGTATAAAGTTACTTCAGATGCTGAGAAGTGAGATATTATGACGTCATGTCACCTGTTTTAACTTGAAGGAACTGGTTGCGGGGAAGGTTGATGACACTGTTCCGCAGAAGTCTGATAATATTAGCTGTGGCTATTATCGTCACAGTTACTGTATCTACATCACGCTGCGTCAACTTGGATAGGTTCTCTACCTGAAGATGAATACTGTTTGATTTCTGAATGTTTATTTACAATTGAATTTTATTATTATAGGATGTATGGTCATGGTAATCAGTCTAGTCAGGAAGAAGCAAATACAAATTTGAATAGCAACACAGAAATTATTTACTAATTATAAGAATTAGTTATAGCTTCAATAACACAGTTTTGGAATGAAAAATGTATATTTATAACTAATTCCACTTACAAATTTGTGGAAATCTAAAAGATATCTAAGTTAATACCAAACATGTAATATATTGAATTTACTTGCAAGTAAATTCAAAGCAAGCTGTTTTAATATTTGACGTAACTGCGCACATTACCTTGTTTTTGACATCATTATTAGCAGCTTTGAGTAACGACTTCAAACTGTCGTACATTACCTCATCAAACTTCTCACGTGACTGAGGAATTGTATCGTGTAAAGGAAAATATAAAATAGAACTTATAACCAGTATATTTTAGGTAAATTTTAAAATTTTAAACTATTCTTAACCAAAGCAATGTGAAATTTAATTGAACTGCATTGGCCTTACTGGATGTAGTGCCATCAATATTGCATATTTGTTTAAAATTTACTTACCTCTGGTGATCGAGCCCATTTTAAGAGATCTGTCAACACTCTGGACAAGTCATTCCACTCAACATAAGGCTTGGCAGCATTAGGTCCAACCCACACACCTCGCCGAATGCGATCAAAGTTTGTGTCTACGTCAACCATTCCAACAAATAACGTACATTCATATGTAAAATCACCTTTACAAGGAAAGAGTTAATAAGGAGACCAATATTAGATTTGTGATTTTGCCATCGCAACAGAATTGCAAAGATAATAATTATGGCAAAGAGTATAATTATGACATTTACTTTGGTGATCATAATTTTGTAAACAATACTACAATTACAAGAAAGCTTTGCAATGTCTCTCCAGTACCAAGATTTAAGCCTGGCAACAGTCAAAAATTCACCCATATCCAATGCCTGGAAGCTTGGTAAAAACTGAAGGGGAATTGTTTGTCACAGTTGAGCTAAAATGTTGAGGATGACGCTAAATGAAGAATTGAGGATCCGGCGGTGGGTTGGAAGTCCCCCCTGGGATCATTTCGTCCGTACAATTTTACACAATATAAAAGGTACAATAAGTTATCTATAAAATTTACATAAACAAATTTAAGAGACCTCATAGCTCGTCTTCTGAGGTATAGTATGAAATTGAAGGATACGCCATCCAGTCCAATGTGCTGGGCTTTTTGTCTTCCTCTGATTCCCCTGAGTGCTATGTGTGCTTCGTAGCAGATCAAACCTGAATCGTGTTCTGATGTGATTTTTGACCTGGCTCTTAGCTTCTTTATTGTGGTCAGCTATCCTTTCAGAGATACGATCTAAAAACACAGTGCTGAGTGGACCCATACCTCCAGATGTTGTGAAGACTAGTGGGACACAGTGGCGTAACGTTAGTGGCTGATTTAACTTGGCGCCCCCCGGCGGCTCGAAAAAGTCGCCCAAATTTTTTGTGTCCCAAAAAAAAAAAAAAAAAAAAATCGGGTACAGTACCTTTTTTTGGCGCCCCCTACAGCTTTTTAGCGCCCCTGGAGCAAAAAAGGACCCCAAAAATTTTTTTCACACCGACTGAGCGCTAAATTGGACAGGGGAATACACCAATAAGGCGTTGTTTTCAGTGAGAGGTCATAAAATTCAAGAAAAATTCAAGAAAAAACCTAGGGGCGACTTTTCGTTGAGAAAGGGCGCCTTTTAGGCGCCCCCTGAGGGTGGCGCCCCCCGGCGTAGCCGGGGTGGCCGGGGCAGCGTTACGCCACTGGTGGGACAAAGGACCCTTTCTCTGACTGAAGTACTCTTTCTTCATAGAGATCTTTCTTCTCTTTCTCAAGCGCACTGTAGATTTTATCTAGTGGCTTAAATGTATTTGAGTCGCAATTAGGATGAGTGACCCTGATGACAAAGAATGTTCTTTCGAATGGTGCATACAGTCCAACAGCTACTACATCCAGACGGGCTTCATCCTGGGTGTTGGTCTTCCTGGAGAATGAAGTTGGTTGGACAGGCAGGAGTGCAGGTTCTATCCTTACATCCTTACACTTTGCTTCTTGAAGGAAGAAAGCTGCAGTGTCTCTAATGGCATTGTGGCGCATGCAAACGTATCGTACCGATTACCATAACTTGCTATGGAGTGAGCTAGCCATAAATGTATGGAATAAATATAATGAAATGATCTGATTGGTGGAATTTTTCTCATTATCTGATAAGCTCATCCATTATCAGTATCTCTTATCACCCGATCGCACACAAAACATCTTACTCTACAAATCTGTATCATCCTAAATCAATGAGATTTCATAATTCTATACAACTTTCAAAATTCACATACAAATCTATGAATAATCAAGTACGTTCTCCTCAGTATTACTCAAGTTCAGTGCGATAGTCCCTTATTACGTAAACGCTACAAACAAATCAAATACAAATAACACCTTACAAAACTACACAACACAAAAGCAACCACTTTATTCGATTTCTACTTTTTAGCCAAATCAGTTATTTAAATCATACTGATAAGGCCCTAGATAAGGACACTTTATTTCACTTAATTATCCGATTTTAGCTTAAAATTTTCGCCCGGGTAGGTCTTGTGAACATGCTCTTCTCAACGCAAAAGACACCATTCTTAATTCAATGTCTAAAAAGCAGGTAACTTTACTTCTTTTAATCGACTTCAGCAAAGCTTTCGACCTTGTGGATCATTCCATACTCTTGCGCAAGCTGGACCATTACAGCATAAGGGCCAAGGGGTCAAGCCTTAAACTGGTTTAAGTCATATCTCACTAACAGGAAACAGTTTGTATCAATTGGCTCGTCAAAATCCTCAACCAACCAAATTTTATACGGCGTGCCTCAAGGGTCAATATTGGGACCTCTACTCTTTATAATATACATAAACGACCTGCCTCAAATATCAGATATAGCCAATTTCATTATGTACGCAGATGATGCCAACATCTTCCTGATAGGAGATAATCTTAATGAAGTTTACGATAAACTAATAACTCTTAGCGATGCTTTAGTTAACTGGGTAGATAATAATGGTTTAGCTCTCAACCTTAAGAAAACAAATTATATGATCTTCTCTCGACAAAGAAATCTTAATTATCGTGATGTGGCAATTTCTGGTGTCACAATTGAGAGAAAAACAGAAGCCCGTTTTTTAGGAGTTATAATAGATGATAAACTAAACTGGTCCCATCATATCTCTGCCATGAAAATGAAAATGTCCAGATACATAGGAGTCATGTACAAACTTAAAAAATATCTGCCTCTCGAAGTATGTCTTCAAATTTATCAAAGTTTTGTGCAGTCACACCTTAATTATTGCAGCCTTGTATGGGGTTTTGCTGCCAAGTCTCATATTGAATCACTTTTTGTAAAACAGAAAATGGGCCTTCGAGCAGTATTACCTGGTTTCGTCAATTGCTGGTACAAGGACGGTATCCCCCCAGCAAGTACCAAGTCTGGCTTTTATTCACATAAAATATTGACAGTACACAGTATCATTGTAAAGAACGCACTCATTTTAATGCATAAACTGAAAAACTTTCCTAATCTAGTACCATTGTCTCTCAAGAAAACAATTCCCAAAAGCGCACCATTATTTAATACTAACCCGGATTCTATTCTCACTACACAATGGTCAGAAAAGTATGGTCAACACCCTTACAACAACTCAGTATTTTTTAAAGGTCCATTATTAGCAATAAACCGATATAATGTTGCAGCAACTTCCCCGCCTAGTCTATTTAACCTGAACATTTACAAAACTTGTATAAAAACTATGCTCATCGATCAGCAAAATGAAAAAATCGAAGACGAATGGCCTAATTTTATGTTATTTTGTATAACAGGCCTCAAACTCGAGGCCTCAAACTCAGTGCAATCAAAACACAAGTTATCATATTTAGCAGAAAACACAAAATCACTCTGCCACCCAAGATAAAACTGAAAGGCCTAGACATAGAATTCTGTAAAACAATCAAATATCTTGGCATTCATCTAGACAGTCGCCTTAACTGGCATGATCACGCACACCAAACAGCCAAAAAATGCACTAACATCCTCTTTGCAACGCGTAAAATGATTGGAGACAGATGGGGTCTGAGCCCAGACAAGATCTGCTGGGTATTTAACGCCATAATCAAACCAATAATGACCTATGCCTGTGTTACATGGGCACCCAGACTACTTGATAACAAATCTCTCATGACACGATTGGACCGAGCAGGGAATCTTACACTACTGATGGCATCAGGCGCCAGACGCACGTCGTCTCAGGAGGTCTTACACACATTATTTTCATTCCTCCCAGCTTCCCTCGAGCTAGAGAAAACATCCCTCCTCCAAGCCCTCCGCCTCAAAAGCCTTGAACACTGGCCTAACCTTCAAGTCGATCACACCGTACGGAAATCCCTTGAACCATGTTGTTACATTATTGATCGCATTCTAAACAAGATCTTCACAAACTACAACTGCCACACAAATGACCTGACCAAACCAACTCAATGAAACAAGAAATTTTCAATGAAACAAGAAATTTAATTTTAGCACATTTTACAGAATAAAAAGATGTAAAACAATTCATAAAATATAATGCCCATTTGGTGTATGACTTTTTGTCCTTGACTGCTAGTTTGGTTTTGGAAGGACAGGTAACTAACGGGGCAAGGAATGCGCGTGCCTGAAAGCTTTTGCACACACCGAAACGCTAGTTCAGTTAGGTTTTTAGAGACAGGGCTCATTTTAGGACTAGAAGAAATTTGTTAGTAGACATTAGGGGTTCTGTTTATAGTTGTTACTATAGGTTGCAGTCTTGTTGTGACAAAAAGTCTACACTAAAACATGCTTTAGTTTATATTGTGTGGTTCAAGGATATAAAATGTGGCTTCAAGGTGGATATTAAAGAGCTTGCGAAAGATTATGGCCTTTGTACCAATGGTTATAATAAGCTATAAATATCTTAAACTATACAGTGCTAATTAAAAATTTCTTTATACTTCATTCTCAGATTAGATTTAAAAATTCAAAAAATATACATTTATTTTATTAATACCTTCTCACACATTCTTTACTCACAGGACAAGACTTGGAAAACAGTAGCCTAGAGGAATTTAATTGAGATGTGTGTGAACAGCCAGTTATAATGTTTGGAAAATAATATTTGTGCAGTCAAAATCTTTTACGGTCCAATCAAGCAGGGCGTGGTTATGCTGATTAGCTAATAGCGCACTTTTAAGTTTTCCTCGCAAGCACATTACACTAGTAGTAAAGTCAGTCATTCTGAACTTTGGGGTTAAAATGTTAAAAATTTTGGTTGACCTAGTGTTGTGGTTGTCAGGTGGGTCTACCTGACAGATAAGAAGGCAGGGTTTCCTCGACGAACATGTGTAACCCTCATATAGGGATATTGGAGCACGGAATTTCATTATCTTGTAGAGCTCGAGGTAACTGTGGTATGTGTAGAGATTTTGTATAGCTAGAATATTATTATGCTTGAATATCGGTTTGGTGTGTTCTTTTATGAAAAATTTTTGGTCAAGTTTCTGGTGTCCTATAGGCCTAGTACGTGCACAAGTCTTAAACTTATCAAGGTACGCCAGCCTATCACCAAATAGTACTCTGAGACAGTACTTCTGAGCAGTAAATATTGAGCTTATACGTTGCTTAGCTGCCCCACCCCATACAGATATACAGTAGGAAAGATGTGATTCGAACAGAGTATAATATAATTGTTGATGTAGAAATTCTGGAAGGGAGCAGCGAAGTCTACATAAAGTGGATGTGGAATGATTTAGGGTTCGCTTAAGAGCTTTAATGTGATCTTCCCATGATAGGTTCTCGTCAATTATAACACCCAGAAATTTTGCGGATGAAACCTTTTTGATTGGATAGTTGTCTATAGTTAGTACAGGTTCAGGATGTGATAAAATCTCTGACTTAGAACCTGCCATGTTGGGTTTGAAGTGTATGTAGCAGCACTTGGACATGTTTATATGTAACTTATTCGCTCTCATATAAGACTGTAATGATGACAAAAGCTCATTTCCTCGTTCATATGCCTCACGTTTTGTTTTGCCGACAACAAATATATTAGTATCATCAGCAAAGGTAACAAATGATCCTAGTTTAGAACTGTTTGTGATGTCGTTCATATAAAGAAGAAATAGGAGAGGTCCAAGAATTGAACCCTGTGGGACACCAAATTGAATAGATAGGGTATCTGATTTTTCTCCTACAACTTCAGTGTATTGTTGCCTGTTTGTTAAGTAGCTTTTTATGAGGTTATTTGCAACTCCTCTCACTCCACATCCCTCTAATTTTATAAGAAGTGTTGAATGATCGATGGTGTCAAAAGCTTTGCTAAGGTCAATGAATATTCCTAAAACATGATTCTTAAGTTTAAGAGATTTCGTAATTAAATCTACAGAGTAATTGACTGCATGAGATGTAGAGTGAGATTTCCTAAATCCAAACTGTGTCTTCGATATAACTCCCTGGGAGCTAACAAATCCGTATATTCTAGAATATATGAGCTTTTCAAAGATCTTACCGAAGACGGACAGTGTGGAGATAGGACTGTAGTTCTCGATTTCTTCTGGGTTACCTTTCTTATATACAGGTGTTATTTTACCAGTTTTCAGGACATCAGGAAATATACCTTGGGTCATAAGGATATTGAAGTAATTCGATAATACAGGTGCAATTACATGAGATGACTTTTTTATTACACTTATGGGAATGTCACTGGCTTTACCATTTTCGAACTCTCTTATGATTTTCAATATTTCGTTCGAGGAGCAATCTTCTAACCTAATATTTTTTTCATTTCTTGGGTTCAGGAAGTCATAGAAAGTTTTCATGGGTAATATAGGCAGGCCATTAGATAGATTATTCAGTGTCTCATTCAGCTTTGGTGCAATAGAGACAAACCAAGCATTGAATCCATTAGCAATTGCTCTTCTATCAACTATTCTTTGGTTATCAATGATAAATGGGGGCTTGGTTTGCCTCTTCTTTTTGCCTCTGAGTTCGTTAATAATTTGCCAGGTTTTCTTGCTGTTTTCACAGTTGTTTAGAATTTCGTTACAGTAATGCCAACGTTTGGCAGCTTTAATGATAGCTTTGAGCATCCTACGATAATCACTAAATACTTGGTATAGCAAGATATTACCACCAGGGCTCTTATTGGTAACGGTGTCAGACCACTCCTTACGTAGTTCATGCTTTCTTTCTACAGACTGGATGATACTGTCTGTAATCCATGGGTTAAGTTTGGGAGTTCTTTTTGTCACTTTCGGTACCTCCAGTTTGCAGTGTTTGTCAAGTGTCTGGTCAAAACATGCCGTAAACTCATCAAATTTTGTTGAAGGAGTGAGCTGGTTTACCTTTACCTCAAGTTCAGTTACAAAGCTTTTCAATTTGGAACTTGAGTAATCATAATAGCGGACATGTTTCTGAGGCTCTGTACTGCGAGGGGTCTCTACTGAAGTGAAGGTAAATATAGGGGCATGCTCACCAAGCCGTTCTTCAATAACACCTGATAAGACTATATTCTCAATTTTATTTGTTAAAATGTTATCGATGCAGGAACTTTTACAGTTTTGACGAAAATGTGTTGCAATGGAGATAGTCGGGTAAAAGCCGTTTCTGTATAAAGTATCCTCAAAGAGCTGGGAACTGGTAGAAATATTAAGTATGTTTGAGTTAAAGTCTCCCAACAAATTGACAGTTTTCCCATTTAGCTGCTTTGCAAGTAGTTCCAGGGTTTCACAAAAGCTATCAAAGCAGCCATTAGGGGGTCGGTAAATGACTCCATGAACAATTTTGCTGCCTGCGCTATCTGTGGTTTCAACAAAGAGGCTCTCAATATTTGTAGTACAGTGTGATACGTTTTCTAAGACCACAGTATTTAAATGGTCAGATACATAGAGTGCAACACCTTTTTTCTTACCTGCCAATGTTTCTTGATAGAATCCTGTGTATGATGGAATTTGGTACAGGCCCTGCTGTGCAGGATCAGTATTGGTTTCAGCAAGACCAATCATATCAAACGAGTGCCCTATACTTTTGAGTTCAATTAGGAAGCTATCAAAGTTAGATGCGTTTCCATCTATATTGTAGAATAAAGTTGATAACATAGATTTTTTTGAGGAATTGAGCTGCTTGATTGCATTTAAGAACTCGAGTTTAGAGTAGCGACGGCAACGTTCAAGTACAAGGGCATATGATGCAATTAAGGCATCTTCCTGGTTTCTATTATCATAGAATCTATCAGAATCTATAGATTCCTCATCAGATGGAAATGGGCAGTACCGTTCCTCTGCAGAACTGGCACACTCGCAGCACATCCATAGTCCATTTTTGCATGAGTATTTAGCTGATTTGAAACACTTAGTATGGATGGCATTATTACAGTTTTCACACTCTAGTAAAGGTTGTCCGATGTTAATAGATCTACTACATGGCTCACACACATCTTTAATCATTTTCATAATCATTTTTACTAAGTGGGGTTGTTAGACCCCACTGACTGGTTGTGTTTTCCACGTCTTGTCCGCTCTTGCCTCTCTCTCACATACACCCAATGCTTCACACATCTCACAAATTTGGTAATACCATAAACTCGGACTAAATGAATATCATCACCACCTCTGGTCAGGTTGGTGGCAAGGAGTCCCCTACTATCTAAGAAGTGGCCAACTCCAAGGTGCCACACACTCTGGTTGAAGTTGGCACTTAACATTTCTCCAACAAGCCGATTGAAGGTCATAATGTTTTTGTTCATTTGAGGCAATCTTGATGGGAGGACTGCTGCGACAAATATTTTGATACTTGGGCAGAGCTTTCTTATCTGTTGAATCTTCAAGTGGAGAACGTCAACCAGCTGATGGATTTCATTCTCTCCTCTAAGGTTTTCTACCCGGAGGTCATTGGTACCACAAACGATAACAACGTTGCTGTACCCAATGCAGCGACAAGGGTCAATCAAACTGACTTTACCTGCCTTGACTCTTTCACCAGGGAAAGACTGGCCCATAGTACCAGCACCACACCCAAACTTGATTGTTTTGGTGTTCGAATCTCCCATAATGAGCGTGCTTCTTTTGAATTTGTTGTTAATGGCTCTAAGGGTAATGGAAAATCGTCCGTACATGGCCGGGTTGACTTCAGTTTTTTGGGTGGCCTTGATTCCATGCTTGAACCAAGCTTGTGAGGAACGAGTCATAATATAGGCCGAGTTGGATTCCAGGGACATTTCAGTCATTTTTGTAGGTGAATGGCCTTCATGGACAGGTACAAAGCTTATCTTTCTTACTTCTCCTATTGAAATTGTGGCTATTTCGGAGTCAGCAAGTATTTCTTGCTCATCGTCACAGTGGAAGGGTAACATGCTTTCCTCAACCCCAGTGCTAGGAGGGAAGTAGTTTATGAGCACAGAGTTAGGCTTGTGTGTAAGTTTGCACTGGGAGGTGACTCTATCAATAGCAGCTGCTAATGGTGGTGGGATGGCTGGAGAGGAGGGGGCGTTTGTGTCTCCAGAGTATGTGTAGCTTTCTCCATATTTAAGGACTGACCTTCCGTTCATCTGGCTGAACTTACCAGTTTCTTTGCACTCAGTCAGAAAACTGGTGACCTCATCAAGCAGATTTTTGTCTAGGATGTCTACTTGGTAGTCCTTAATCGGCGGCATTACACATTTGGGGAGGGCTACTGTTGACCTGACTAACATCAGCCAGAAGAATTACACCTTAGAAATAAACGGTAACGACATGGTTCCTCTAGATCCAATTAACTACATAATTACAACTTACACAGATGGATCGAAACACTCAGATGATTCCACAGGCTACGGTGTGGCTATCTTTATAGATAAAGAAACACGGATGACAGAAAACTACACCATGAAACAGTATCACACAGTCTTTCAATGCGAAGCACACGCTCTCCTCAGAGCTAGTATCCTTCTAAACGACATTTTGTCATCCCCCTCTCTCTCAGAACACAGAGTCATAATCTACTCAGACTCACAAGCACTGATCAAAGCACTTTCGAACCCCTACTCAATCAGCAAAACCATCATAGATCTCCACAATAGCTTAAACGATACAGCCTCAACTCACCTTATCACGATAGAGTGGGTTCCAGGTCACAAAGACCACTACGGAAACGAGCTTGCAGACAAACTAGCGAACATCAGAGCTGTCGAACCAAATCCAGCTCCCTCGACAAACCAGCCGAACATTCCCCACACATTCTTCAAAAACAAGGTTCACAAATATATAAACGACAAAAAGAACAAGCGCTGGAATAACTCTAACATAAGTAAAAACACAAAAGAACTGGTATCAGCAATTGTAAACCGCAATCTTCAAGGCCAACACTGCACCTCTTCAAGCTGGGCTTTGACGTCCTCAAACCATTGACTAGACTCATTACAGGTCACAACAACCTCAACCATTTCCAAAACAAAATTGACTTCACAACAGCACCATATTGTAGCTTCTGCGAAGACGACGTCCACGAAACAGCCATGCACCTCATATGCGACTGTGAATATTTCGCCAGGACCCGTATGGAAAAATTCGGAGAAGACCCGATAACAATCGATCAACTCATGCGCCTTACTTCACTAACAAAGAAAAAGGATTTAACAGTACTACTAGACTTCATCGGGGACTACGATCTATGAATCGTAACCACGCTACTATAAATATTCATGGAGAAAATAACAAAGATATAACGTAGCGCACACACATCGCGCGCGACAACCACTGCAGCCTGGGCGTAAGGCTCAATCCCACTCCACAAAACTTAGTACTTATAAAGCAACAACATCATCATAACCCACACACCACCTTCGCACAAATCAGCTATTCCTCACTCACTCATGAGCGTCGACATATCTCCCCATGTACATCTGTAAATTGGAGCGGCCCCCCGCGACGCGGAGCAGGTAAGCTACCTGGTTCGGGCTTCTTCACTTATCAGAGTACACTAGCACCACAAAACACTAGACTCAAGCCCTCAGCTTTGCGCGCATCCTTCACCTTCACAGGGCCGGCTGTCCATATCCTGTAATATCCTGATTCTATATGCTCGCGGGGTCTATTACCTGTTTGAGCTCTATTATTACGCGCGCGTGCCCAGTGTACAGCTCACCGGCCTGCGTTGTCCACTGGACATGGATGTCGCCTACATGACCCTCAAATCTAAAAGTAGGTTGAGGGCACCACAGCGGGCCTAGCGCTGCCCTCTGTCGACATACATACATACATACATAACAGGACTAAGAAAATCAAAGCATAACATAAACCAAAATGCTGATAATAACCTTGTCTCTACATCTTAGATTATATGCACACACTTATGCATCACTCAATAAACGTCGCATATCTCATAAATTACACTGCCAACATTGGACATTTTTTATTATCGCCGCGTATTTCAAATCAAGTTACAAATTCTACAAATTTTGAAGTGCTCAGTCTTGTTTTACTTTTTTAATCTTTACCTATTAACCATTGGAAAATAAAACTTTAAGTTATAAACCTTCCTTGCATACTTTACCGGTAGAGTCTAAATTGAATAGTTTGAGATTTCCTTTACATTTTATATTTATGCATGTGCCCCACGGGGATGAATTTCTTATTACCATTGATATTATATATACTTTTTTGAGTAAACATTGGCTGGTACCACGGGCCAGTCCCCAACAACAAAAAAAGAAGAAAGAAAGAAAAAAAGAAAAAAAGAGCTGACCATCAAACTCAGTATGGGTGATGAATGCACATGATGATTGATGTGGGATTTCTATAGCTAGGGCTAGCAAAATACAAAACATCAGTTCTCCATATAAAATATCTCAACAATATCTGGGTCCATTTATCATTTACTATAACAAAATCCATTTACATTACTACTATATTTTTCCTACTATGCTATTAAATTATTCTCAAACGATCAAATTGAATCATGCATTCACGCTTGTGCTAAATCTTCGTGAGCTTTTGTGAAACTACTCATCTTGAGATCTTCATGTTAATACAAAAATTTAAACTGTAGCGCTCGATTCTGGAGCAGTGTATTCGCGTATTTATTGTTGATTGTGCTTATCGGCGCACCGCTAAAACAATACGTTTTATTATAAGAGTAAATAACAAAATTTAAGTAAAACAAAATGTAAATGCCATTACAATGAATAATGATATGATAATAAATAAAAGTAGACATCCAATAACAAACTTGTTAGGCCAGGTCCAGTACAACCCAAAATGTCCCCGGACTAACAAAATAAACCTTAAAAAGATTCGGCGGAATGACAGGCTGAGCGCCGCCCAGTAAGCTGAGCGCCGCCCATTAACCCAATGGCAAGTGCTAACAATGGTCAAGCTGCTTAGGCGCGGCACCGCGCTTGACCCACATGCTATACAGCGTGTAGCAACACAAGTTCTAATTAGATTTAGACCTCATGATTTGGGGAGACACAATATTTTGTTCTCGATGTCAAATAATTTAATTAATGTCAGTATATTTAGTTACAGTTCCTGGTATCCAATAATTTAATTAAATTCACCTAGATGGTTTACCTAGATCACTGTACCAAGTTTGACAAAATGCATCGACAATTGCGCGATGCGTTACTGTGCCGCGCCGCGCACTCAATTGTGCTTCTCGCTAGATCATAGATCGGCAAGATGCGCTACTGTGCCGCGCCGAGCTGCGATGATCGAATTGACATTGTCAATTAAGCAGCGACAGGAAGACGGGGACATAACGGAAGTGGAGAAGACAATGCACTATAATGTATAAAGATCTTCTCGCATCTTCTCGCAACTACAAATGTGCAAGACGCGAAAGATTGACATCGTGAATCAAAAAAAATACTGCAGTCGATCGACTGCAGTATTTTTTTTGACTCGAGTTGAAAATTAGTTTATTTTTCATTAGAAAGAAATGTGATCATAGTTTGAGAGTAAATTGGTCTGCTACAGCTACTGCAAGGTAAACGGTGAAGGTTCAAGGTCGAGATTAACGGGTGATACTCGTAAAATAAAATATATGTTCCAAATACCGTCGACGAGTCCAACTCGGCGCCCGTCCTGGTAGCCTCGACCTTGTAGGCTTATTATATAACCTTCCAGTGGTAGGTTATATAATAAGCCTACAAGGTCGAGAGCGTATTATAACATAGAAATTATGGCGCGGCGATACTTTTTGGCGCTGTTTGTCACGCTCACTGATTAAACGATACAATTTTTTAGCAATAATGTTTCGCGCGTTACGTTTACCATTCACATTCTGTGTGACCGAACAACATTCCAAACAAATGTACGTGATGAATGCCGGTGTACAGATTTGTATGTGAGTGTGTGATTTGATTTGCGGACATTTACAGGATTTGTGTGTATCTGTTGTGTTTGGGGGTGTGTGTGTGATTATAGACTGTAGTGCTTGATTTGTATGAACTGGTTTAAGATTAAGGTAATTGCAATGAAGCTAATTTTGTCATACGTTGTAGACGCTGCACGATACTTTCGTCTCTTAGCGAAACGATAATGGGGGTCACGACGTGATACAATATAAATAATGAAAAGTTTATGTTGAGAATTTTACTTGACATATGTTGCATGAAACTTTTCTCTTGCTTCATACTACATCTGATCGATTTATGATACGCAACGTGTATCAAAGTCCAAATAATACCAAATCTTGTCATAAAAGAATATACAATTTTCTCAAACAGTATACACATAATGTCACAATGACCCTATATAAAAATAACCCTTTAAAAACTCAATATTTTGAAATTCACCCTTGGCCTTGTGGCTCCAAGTTCAAATCTAAACTGTCCATATTGACAAAGTTCTTTCTCGTCTATCTTGTCATAAAATCAAAACTAAATGAATTCAAACTGAAACTTACAATCAAACAGAAACATAAATTGGGGGTGCCGTTGTAAACACAATTTTCTCAGATTAAAGCACAACATGTGACGTCACTACCCTAACTAACTGCCCGATTAATTTGAACTAACAATGCGATTAAAAAAACAGATCCCAGAATGTCTAATTCTAAAGTAAATAATGATTGTCCCGCCGTGCACTGCACTGAGCGGGCATTATTACGTATGTATAATATCAAATTTATCTACATAGAATTATTATACAGATCAACATTGCGAAGAACTCACCATGCTCTATTATTTTATAGATTTTATAGATTATTATCAAGTTCCTCATTTAAAGAAATCAGAACACTTCGCTTTAAACTTAACATGGCCCACAAAAGTTAACACTGTAAATCGTAAAAGGATGGCCTATCAAGAACGGTAACCTAACTACCAATGTGATAAGTAATAGTTTCATCTGAATTCATAAAAAGAGGGCAAATTGAGGTGCTTATCGTAATTTATTTAGTGATCCAAAGAGATAGTCTATTTATAACTATTTATTTATAACTATTTAAGTATGATGGACTGTAACATTCTTCTGAAAAAGAAAATCACGCTCAAACTAATCTGTTTCATCTAGGAATACAGTCTTCGGTTTAACAAACAAATGCGTTTCGGGGGCTTAGATTGCACTAATAGATTAAAGCTGTGATTTAGATTTTGCACATTTCGGCGGAGAGCCATTCCATTCCCTCGTAGAGACCGTCACCAGAGGTTGCGCAGGTTGCTTGGGTGTGCCACTGAAATAATAAGAAATTAGTTATAGTTAAATATACGGGCTTGTTTTAAATTTGCAAACTACCAGAACATCGGTACACATATTTCTTGGGGCCCATAGGACGAAACTGGATGCCTTAAATTCGACTGAAATGATTTAACGATTTTTTGGAGACCCGACTGTTGAGATCATTAAAAGTTTGAAGACGATCTGAGTTAAACGTCTTGAAATAATGTCCTACCTGTCTGTTCTTCATTCCCTGGAGACCGAGTGCGTCAGTCACATCGGCAACAGAACAAGCTGAGGGAAGATCCTTTTTGTTGGCGAACACGAGAAGGATAGCGTCTCTCAGCTCATCTTCTTGGGTCATTCGTTCTAACTCCTTCCGAGCCTCTATTAAACGTTCTTTGTCGTTGCTGTCCACTACAAAGATGATTGCCTGATGGGGTCAATGTGAGGAACTTTTTATTTTAGAAAGGGAGGCTACACAGGAGGGTGTTATGAGATCACGTTCATCTATTATTATTAGAATGTGTGGAATGTTATGATGTCATCCTCAAACACTCTGTTGTGATGATTAATGATCCCGCGCTCGTTGTGGGTGTAATTCAATCATTTTCTGTGTGGAAACTTCTATTATTATTAGACGTACCGTCCGTTCTTCAGCACTCTCACAAAATGCGAAACTTTCCAGTTTCAAATGTCGCAATCAATGGTGAGTTCCATTGAGTATAACCTAATATGATTACGTGTACAGTTTCTAATTTTCTATGTGGCATTGTTATTTTAATATACAGCTATTCAATCAACAGAAAGTACAAACGTCTCAATAGACTCACGTGTGCGCGCTGACGCATATTATACAAAACGCTGTTTACATGCACTTTTCCAGATGATGAATCCGAGACAGAAGATGAATCCGAGATTTTGGAAACATTTGAGACAAATTCTGATACATGTTTTTTCGCTTTATACCTTAATTCCCAAAAATTTGGGCGACAAAAAATTTGAGCGGGCCTCTCGCCCAAATTTGTTGCAGACCAAATTAATTGCATAAATCTTTTCCGTCTGCTAAATTTTTTGCTAACCAAACTTTTGGCCCCCTTTTGGCATTTGGCCTATGGCCCTGAAATCTATAGAAAGATGGCTTTTTCTTCATATCCAAGTGAAATAATATTTGAAATTTTAGTTTTATAATCTGTCATTCATGGCTTGACCAAGTAAAAAGGCTTATATTTTAAATGAATAGAAATAACTGGAATAGCTAACAGCTACTAATAAAACAAATGGCTAGAGGTACGGATAGCTAGAGATTTAAACAAGATCTGCAAATGGATTATCATCCACCGTAAAGTCTGATCTACAAGCATCAGTTATACCCGACTTCTCAAAGCCTTTCCTTATGTCATCTGGCCTCCCTTTTAAATATACAAAAACTTCGTTGATCCAACGAGCGTGTACTTCACGGATCACTGTCAAGCGGGTATCAATTTTAAAATTAGACTTGACCTTTGGTCCGGGTTTACAGTAGTTCGCTACACACAATTATGTACACCGTTGTTTCCCCCAAAGCTAAGCGTATGTGCCGCTTAGTTTGATAGATCATGATGTAAACCTTATAATTTTCTTCCAAACCTTTCGACCATCTGGTGAGGCGTCATAATGATAATTGTATGTGAAAGGGGTATGATAAGATATGCTGACTAGACTAAACTATCTGATTGAGTAGACTAAACTATCTGATTGAGAGACTAAATATCACTATTGTATATCTATCATTTTGTACTGTGCCATCATCACTGTATTTTTTAGTAGTTACTGGGCAGATCGTAAATTACATAATGTGAAACAACTCAGACTACCACCTACATGCTTAAAATTGAAAGCAAAATAAACTGGAATAATAAGGAATAATAATGAACTAAGGCAAATATCTTACTGAAATTTTAGTGGAAAATCTTTCATTTTTCGAAGAATTTGTGCCCAAATTTTCGGTCGCCCAAATGAGTTCAAATTTTTGGGAACTAAGGTATGTCCGTGAACTGAGTGGAATTTGCTATGGTATGATAGAGGGGCATGTGTACTAACATTTTCAGCCTCCTGTGAAATATTCCCTGATTCATGGAATGAATGAAATGAACACAAAATGAACACAAAATGAACATTTTCTTTTCACTCCCCTGAATTGAGCTAAAACCGATTGGAATCAATCGGTATTGATCTCAGAAGTGTCCTTGGGAAGTTTGGTGAGTCTAGCATGTTCATAAAGGGCTCTGGGGAAATATTTCCATTTCGGTTTCAGAGTAGTTGAGATCGTGGAAACATTTGAGATAAATTTGGAACCACACTTTTGTAGCCATATTTATGCTTGTACTAACTTGGAATCTATCTGGTATGGTAGAGGGACACATGTACTAACATTTCCAGCCACTTAGAAGTGCAAAGTATAATTCCCCTGGTTCATGGAATGAATGAAATGAACACCACATGAACATTTTCCTAGAATCCCCTGAATTGAGCTAAAACCGATTGGAATCGATCGGTATTGATCTCAGAAGTGTCCTTGGTAAGTTTGGTGAGCCTAGCAGGTTCAGAAAGGGTTCTGGGGCAATGTTAAAATTTTAGTTTCAGAGTAGTTGAGATAACAAATATATCATACTTCTAAATAGTGGAAACATTGGAGACAAATTTGTATAATATCATTGACACCGTGTTCAGTGTACAGATTATGGCGATGTTCGATGTCAACAGTCGTTATATCTGTATATGTATCACTTTAAAAGGCCTGCAATAGAGTGGGTCGAACTATCAGCTTCTTTCTTCTATCTCAAAACTAATTAATTCATGGCGAACTCGGAACTACACCTCACCTCGACATCCTCAAGTCCAAAAATTCCCTTATTCACCGAACATTTTTTTTGAACATTTAAAATATAATTTGAAACATTACAGTAACGTTATTCAAATCTCAAACAGAAACAGTATATAACAAAGTTTTGTGTTTTGATCATATGATCGTGGATGTATAGTGATTGATTGCATAATTTTGAATTTGATTGATGGTGATTGTGAGTGAGAAGATGTTTGGAGTGCCAGCCAGTAACTCTGTCAAATGAACAGCCCAATGAAGAGCGAATGAGCGCAATTGCGCAGGAACAGCAGAGAGGGTGGCACAAAACGGCACACACGGAAAGGACGAAACAAAAAAGAAAAAACGCCGTGCGCGGTAAGCTTGCCTATGTCTGAGAGCTGGTGTTACCTGGCAAGAGGCCTCGAAGGAGGTGCCGTGGTGGAGTGTGAAGGGAAAGTTCGAGAGCACGGCAGCTCTAACTGATGATGATGATTGAAGAAGGAGGTCGAGCGGGAAGCTCAGAAAAAGCTAAACAGGAAGGATCCAGCTGAGGTCTGACTCATGTCAGGAAGTGATGAAAAACTCAGACAAAATCATCAGTGGCTGTCTACCCCGTACGTAGGCAGTGTCCAAGATTTCAGGCATCAGGATACACTGGAGCAGTGCAGAGCTGATTACGACCAGGGTCCTCACGGATACCCTGTCTTGGAGGTCGAGCCAATGCCCTGCGTTCGGTAATTGTGTCTACTGATATAGCCTTCATACTTTCCCTACTAACAGTCACTGTAACCCTATCACTCGGAAGGCCCCACGGCTCCTACATGGACGCACGGCCGGGAGCCCATGTAGGGATAAAAGTGACCGCAAGAACTCCATCACATCCGTCACAGATCCAAAGCTGGAAAAGAAAAAAAAAGGCGGAAAGAAAAAGGGGAAAAAAGGAAAGGAAGAAAGGAAGGACTGAAAGACCTTCTTAACACAACCCTACTTTCTATATTTGGCGAGAGACGCCAAAAGGACATTTGGAAGACGAAACCAGCAGTATATAGAATAGAGAATCAGAGATACATATCATATTCTGCACTATCAAAAAACAAATCAACAACAACAAGCTATGACAATTATGAAAATTGAATAGAATGTAACCTTACGTAACTACACACATAGATAATAATAACTAATGGGGATTAAGACGTTTGAACCTTACAAGTATCGTTATATTCAGGCAAAAAGCTAATAGTTTTCGGTATCAGTGATTTGAAAATGTAAAGTATTTAAGTACGCCACATATCAACGAAACAACGCAAAACTTCTTCCTAAAACGTTACCTGAGTGTTTGTATAATAATGTTTCCAGAGAGGTCTGAGCTTGTCTTGACTGCCGACATCAAACACTGTAAAACTGACGTTCTTATACTCCATGGTCTCTACATTGAAACCAATGGTGGGTATCGTGGTCACTACTTCTCCGAGTTTCAGCTTGTATAGGATCGTGGTCTTACCTGCTCCATCTAACCCCACTGAAAAGTGAAATTATCGTGTAAGGTTACAGATGATTTGTTTATAGGCTTAGGTTATTTTTATAGGGAAAGGGTTAAAATGTAGGATTGAAATTTAACGAAATTATTTGTTACACAGTATGATCTGATTAAACAGTGTAAAACTGACAATATAAACATACCCATGAGGATTCTCATGATGGCCTTCTCTCCAAAGACCTTGTATATAGGGGGGGTGTCATGTCCGTCTATGTCCGCCTATGTCCTGTCCTTTTTGGATTCTATGAGACAACGGACGTGTTTTTTGGGACATTGGCGGACACGGACGGACATTGGCGGACTCGGACGGACATTGGCGGACTCGGACGGACATTTGCGGACTCAGACGGACATTGGCGGACTCGGACGGACATTGGTGGACATTAGCGGACATTGGTGGACATTAGCGGACAAACATTTTGAGAATTTTTCGCAACTTCTATGTATTATAATTTTGTACAAAACAAACGACTTATTAATCACACTAAAGCTATTAATAGCTTTAACTTATATCAAATTATATACATATAATATAATTATAAATAAAACAATAAACTCTAACATTCATTACACTCTCTAAAATTAAAATATACAGGATAAAATAAGGAGGAAGAGGAGGAAGGAGGAGGAGGAAGAGGACTGAGGAGGAGGAGGAGAAGGACTGAGGAGGAGAAGGAGGACTGAGGAGGAGGAGGACCCAGGAGTAGGAGGACTCAGGAAAAGGCCCCAGGAGGAGGAGGAGGACTGGGGAGGAGGAGGACTGTTGAGGACTGATGAGGAGAACTGAGGACAATGAGGAGGAGTAGGAGGAGGACTGAGGAAGGGAGGATCAGGAAGACCCAAGAGGAGGACCCAGGAGGAGGAGGAGGAGGAGGACCCAGGAGGAGGAGGAGGACTGAGGAGGACTGAGGAGGAGGACTGACGATGACTGAGAAGGAGGAGGACTGAGGAGTACTGAGGAGGATGGCTGAGGAGGATGGCTGAGGAGGATGACTGAGAGGGAGGAGGAGGAGGACTCAGGAGGAAAAGGAGGAGGAGGACTCAGGAGGAGGACTTAGGAGAAATGAGAAGGAGGACTGAGGAAAACTGAGGAGGAGGAGGAGGAGGACTGAATAGGAGGAGGAGAAGGAGGGGGACTGGGAGAGGACTGAGGAGGAGGAGGACTGATGAGAAGGATGAGGAGGAGGACTGAGGAGGAGGACTGAGGACCGAGAAGGAAGAGGAGGAGGATGAAGAGGAGGAGGAGGACCCAGGAGGAGGAGGACTGAGGAGGAGGACTGAGGAGGACTGAGGAGGATGGCTGAGGAGGATGGCTGAGGAGGATTTTTTTTAAATTTTTTTTTAAAAGAGAGGCTGGGCCTGGTTGGCCCACTAGAGGATAGCATATGAATGCTTTGCCTACCTCTGGGGTATGGCAGTCCTGTGGGAGGATGCCAGTAGAATCAAGATGTGTTATCAAGGATGATGGTAAGTGTTGTGGGGTGTGTCATAGATAAACGCTTAAGTGGTGGTTGAGTGTGGAAGAGAGAGGCTGAGGAGGATGGCTGAGAGGGAAGAGGAGGAGGAGGAGGAGGAGGACTCAGGTCAGGAGGAGGAGGAGGAGGACTGAGGAGGACTGAGAAGGAGGAGGACTGAGGAGGAGGAGGAGGACTGAATAGGAGGAGGAGGAGGGGGACTGGGGGAGGACTGAGGAGGAGGATGGAGGACTGAGGAGAAGGATGAGGAGGAGGACTGAGGAGGACTGAGGAGGAAGAGGAGGAGGAGGGGGACTGGGGGAGGACTGAGGAGGAGGATGGAGGACTGAGGAGAAGAATGAGGAGGAGGACTGAGGACTGAGGAGGAACAGGAGGAGGATGAAGAGGAGGAGGAGGACCCAGGAGGAGGACCCTGGAGGAGGACTCAGGAGGAGGAGGAGGACTGGGGAGGAGGAGGACTGTTGAGGACTGATGAGGAGGACTGAGGACGAGGAGGAGGAGTAGGAGGAGGACTGAGGAGGGGAGGAGGAAGAGGACTGAGGAAGATCAGGAAGACCCAGGAGGAGGAGGAGGAAGAGTAGTCCTCGGAGGAGGAAGCATCTAAATGTTATTTCCATTTTTGTCCGTTTTTGTCCGTTTTTGTCCGCTCTATTTTTTGTCCGTTTTGATAATATAGGGTACCGAACGGTGGAGGAGGACTGAGGAGGGGAGGAGGAAGAGGACTGGGGAGGATCAGGAAGACCCAGGAGGAGGACCCAGGAGGAGGAGGAGGAGGAGGACCCAGGAGGAGGTGGAGGACTGAGGAGGACTGAGGAGGAGGACTGACGATGACTGAGAATGAGGAGGACTGAGGAAGATGGCTGAGGAGGATGGCTGAGGAGGATGACTGAGAGGGAGGAGGAGGAGGAGGACTCAGGAGGAGGACTCAGGAGGAAGAGGAGGAGGACTCAGGAGGAGGAGGACTTAGGAGAAATGAGAAGGAGGACTGAGGAGAACTGAGGAGGAGGAGGAGGAGGACTGAATAGGAGGAGGAGAAGGAGGGGGACTGGGAGAGGACTGAGGAGGAGGAGGACTGATGAGAAGAATGAGGAGGAGGACTGAGGAGGAGGAGGACTGAGGACCGAGGAGGAAGAGGAGAAGGATGAAGAGGAGGAGGAGGACCCAGGAGGAGGAGGACTGAGGAGGAGGACTGAGGAGGATGGCTGAGGAGGATGACTGAGAGGGAAGAGGAGGAGGAGGAGGAGGAGGAGGACTCAGGAGGAGGAGGAGGAGGACTGAGGAGGACTGAGAAGGAGGAGGACTGAGGAGGAGGAGGAGGAGCACTGAATAGGAGGAGGAGGAGGGGGACTGGGGGAGGACTGAGGAGGAGGATGGAGGACTGAGGAGAAGGATGAGGAGGAGGACTGAGGAGGACTGAGGACTGAGGAGGAAGAGGAGGAGGATGAAGAGGAGGAGGATGAAGAGGAGGAGGAGGACCCAGGAGGAGGACTCAGGAGGAGGAGGAGGACTGGGGAGGAGGAGGAATTTTGAGGACTGATGAGGAGGACTGAGGACGAGGAGGAGGAGTAGGAGGAGGACTGAGGAGGGGAGGAGGAAGAGGACTGAGGAAGATCAGGAAGACCCAGGAGGAGGAGGAAGAGTAGGAGGAGGAAGCATCTAAATGTTATTTCTATTTTTGTCCGTTTTTGTCCATTTTTGTCCGCTCTATTTTTTGTCTGTTTTGAAAATATACGGTACCGAACGGACAAAAAACATGATCCCCTATAACAGCAAAAATTGAACATTTTATTTAGCAATTTAGGTGTCTATTAATGTCCCCTAATTTCCATCTTTGTCCGCCAATGTCCGCCTATGTCCGCCTATGTCCGTCTATGTCCGCCTATGTCCGCCCATGTCCGCCTATGTCCGCCTATGTCCGCCTATGTCCGCCTATGTCCTGTCCTTTTTGGATTCTATGAGACAAGCGGACATAGACGGACGTGACACCCCGCCCCCCCCCCCCCCCCCCATTTTTTGAGTTGACAAATGCCTCGAACCAGTGGTGGTACTAAGTCATACCAGAAGGAAGTATTTAACTTGGACACTCAGTGACTGAGCTATAAAGGCCAACGTATGGGTACTGACTTTTGGCCCACCCTATATATACTCCATCGCTAGAAAAGAGTATTTGTTCAATTTAGATAATCAATTTAATTGGTGTAAAAAGAATGTTAGAATGATACGCTCCCCACTTTAAAGCTTTAACTAGGTGCTTCTGCATGCTTTTATGGCAACAAAATACCAACAAGTAACAACGTAGTAACATAAAACATGTCCTCAGCGGTCAAACCAGTTGGTAATCTACCATATTAGTCATTATCATTGGTCAACATAAGTTAAAACAGAAATAGAAATTGGAAAATTTGTTTGACCAGCCCCACATGTAAAATTGTTACAACAAGTGAAACAAAGAGGGTGACGTATATGTGCATTGGTGGATCAATTGGCCGGTAGATAGATAGATAGAAAGGGTTATTAAAAAGTGCCATATGTATTCAATATTAGTTGCCGATACTTTCTGTTATCTAGATACTTTCAAATTGATAAGAAGACATACCAATCTTATCTGTAAAGGTAGAATGCCAAAATTGTATTAATCACGGATGACAATTTTTAACAGCCCTAGCCTTTCGATCCATCTACATTTTAATAATATACCAATTCCATCACAAGTAGATGATTATAAGAAGCAATAAAACAGCACAATAAAAGGACTTGCAGTGGTATTATGGTATAATTAACTCGGTAAAATCAGACGTTTCACTTTTTAAAAAACGTGAAATCGGGTTTTGCGCATGTGTGTTAAATGAATGCAATATAAAAATCACTCACAACTCGCATCGAATATTAAAACAAAAATTAAAACTAGTTAACACAACAAATGGACACTTATAATTTCATATTCTACATAATATGTGCTTCAAAACTTGTCTGATTGATCACTCAACCCCTTTCTAATGTACTTGCCTCTGAACTATAACCTCAGCAGCACTAATATAACATATATGGTCACTTGAAATCGAGTAATGGCAATAAAATCATACTAAATGTTCTCAAAAAATGTTTAAGTTTAGTTTAAACTTGTGTACAAAAAACGTTTTACGAAACTAGCAGCAGCTATGAAACATAATATCATAAGAACATTCCAAGCTGAATTCTAAAGAAATGGTAGCTAGTAGGATTAAAGGATGTTGAATACTCCGCCGACTATTTCTACTCTTTAGTGCTTCTCATCGTAAAACACTAAACAACTCAATGTCAGATAACAGTATTATGTTATGCGGTTATATATATTTTAACAAAAGTACAGGTTTTGCGTATAAAAAGCGTAAAATGCATTATTTTCACATTGGTTCTCTCCTCGAGGCGGGAGAGTTTTCACTTCATTGGTCGAGACACTACTAAGTAAACAAAATTGGAAGTACATGTTCTACTACATAACTCATACATTGTACATTTTATACACGTGTACATTGTATAAACACATGTTATTTCTGATCACACTTTTATTTCCCTTTTGTGACGGAATACTTCTGGCCGGGTTTCATACCATCTCTGATTGCGCTTCATACTATATCTGATCGATTTGTGATGCGCAACGTGTATCAAAGTCCAAATAATACCAAATCTTGTCATAAAAGAATATATATTGACAAAGTTCTTTCTTATCTCGTCTATCTTGTCATAAAATCAAAAATAAATGAATTCAAATTGAAACTTACAATCAAACAGAAACATAAATTGGGGGTGCCGTTGTAAGCACAATTTTCTCAGATTAAAGCACGACATGTGACGTCACTACCCTAACTAACTGCCCGATTAGCTCAATTTGAACTTACAATGCGATAAACAAAACAGATCCCAGAATTCTAAAGTGAATAATGATTGTCCCGCCGTGCACTGCACTGAGCGGGCATTATTACGTATGTATAATATCAAATTTTAAATTTATCTACATAGAATTATCTAGTATCTACATAGAATTATTATACAGATCAACATTGCGAAGAACTCACCATGATCTATTATTTTATAGATTTTATAGATTATTATCCAGTTCCTTATTTAAAGAAATCAGAACACTTCGCTTTAAACTTAACATGGCCCACAAAAGTTAACGCTGTAAATCGTAAAAGGATGGCCTATCAAGAACGGTAACCTAACTACCAATGTGATAAGTAATAGTTTCATCTGAATTCGTAAAAAGAGGGCAAATTGAGGTGCTTACCGTAATTTAAGTTATTTAGTGATCAAAAGAGATAATATATTTAACTATTTAAGTATGATGGATATAGCATTCTTCTGAAAAAGAAAATCTCGCTCAAACTAATATGTTTCACCTAGGAATACAGTCTTCGGTTTAACAAACAAATGCGTTTCGCCTTTCGGGGGCTTAGATTGCACCAATAGATAAAATCTGTTATTTAGATTTTACACATTTCGGCGGAGAGCCAGCCCATTCCCTCGTGGAGACCGTCACCAGAGGTTGCGCAGGTTGCTTGGATGTGCCACTGAAATAATAAGAAATTAGTTATAGTTAAATATACGGGCTTGTTTTAAATTTGAAAACTACCAGAACATCGGTACACATATTTCTTGGGGTCAATAGGACGAAACTTGATGCCTTAAATTCGACTGAAATGATTTAACGTTTTTTGGAGACCCGACTGTTGAGATCATTAAAAGTTTGAAGACGATCTGAGTTAAACGTCTTGAAATAATGTCCTACCTTTCTATTCTGCATTCCCTGGAGACCGAGTGCGTCAGTCACATCGGCAACAGAACAAGCTGACGTAAGATCCTTTTTGTTGGCGAGCACGAGAAGGATAGCGTCTCTCAGCTCATCTTCTTGGGTCAATCGTTCTAACTCCTTCCGAGCCTCCATTAAACGTTCTTTGTCGTTGCTGTCCAAAACGAAGATGATTCCCTGGTAGGGTCAATGTGAGGAACTTTTTATTTTAGAAAGGGAGGATACACAGGAGGGTGTTATGACTTATGAGATCACGCATATATTACTATTAGACGTACGGCCCGTTCTTCAGCACTCTCACAAAATAAGTAACTTTTCAGTTTCAAATGTCGCAATTAACGTTAAGTTCTATTGAGTATAACCTAATATAATTACGTGTACAGTTTCTATGTGGCATTGATATTTTAATATACAGCTATTCAATCAACACAAACGTCTCAATAGACTCACGGACGTGCGCAGCGCTTCTGTACATTGATTTTTACAGCCTACATGAATTGGTACACTAGATTTCAGCCTTTCACTTCCGCTGCGATAAATACACATTTCCTTATCTATAATCTAAAATGCATACTTGTACAATCATATTCTGCACTGTAAAAAACAAATCAACAACAAGCAAGCTATGACAATTATGAATAACATGAGAATTGAATAGAATGTAACCTTACGTAACTACACAAATAGATAATAATAACTAATGGGGATTAAGACGTTTGAACCTTACAAGTATCGTTATATTCGGGCAAAAAGCTAATAGTTTTCGGTATCAGTGATTTGAAAATGTAAAGTATTTAAGTACGCCAAATTTCAACGAAACAACGCAAAACTTCTTCCTAATATGTTACCTGAGTGTTTGAATAATAATGTCTCCAGAGAGGTCTGAGCTTGTCTTGACCGCCGACATCCCACACTGTAAAACTGACGTTCTTATACTCCGTGGTCTCTACATTAAAACCAATGGTGGGTGTCGTGGTCACTACTTCTCCGAGTTTCAGCTTGTATAGGATCGTTGTCTTACCTGCTGCATCTAACCCCACTGAAAAGTGAAATTATCGTGTAAGGTTACAGATTATTTGTTTATAGGCTTAGGTTATTTTTTATAGGGAAAGGGTTAAAATGTAGGATTGAAATTTAACAAAATTATTTTTTACACAGTATGATCTGATTAAACAGTGTAAAACTGACATTATAAACATACCCATGACGATTCTCATGGCCTTCTTTCCAAAGAGCTCGTTCATTACTATTGACGCACCACCCCCCATCGCTAGAAAAGAGTATTTGTTCAATTTAGATAATCAATTTAATTCTACTACTGGTGTAAAAAGAATGTTAGAATGATACGCTCCCCACTTTAACTAGGTGCTTCTGCATACTTTTATGGCAACAAAATACCAACAACCTAGTAACATAAAACATGTCCTCAGCGGTCAAACCAGTTGGTAATCTACTATCTTAGTCATTTACATTAACATTGGTTAACATAAGTTAAAACAGAAATAGAAATTGGAAAATTTGTTTGACCAGCCCCACATGTAAAATTGTTACAACAAGTGAAACAAAGAGGGTGACGTATATGTGCATTGGTGGATCAATTGGCCGGTAGATAGATAGATAGAAAGGGTTATTAAAAAGTGCCATATGTATTCAATATTAGTTGCCGATACTTTCTGTTATCTAGATACTTTCAAATTGATAAGAAGACATACCAATCTTATCTGTGAAGGTAGAATGCCACAATTGTATTAATCACGGATGACAATTTTTAACAGCCCTTTCAATTCCATCACAAGTAGATGATTATAAGAAGCAATAAAACAGCACAATAAAAGGACTTGCAGTGGTATTATGGTATAATTAACTCGGTAAAATCAGACGTTTCGCGTTTAAAAAGACGTGAAATCGGGTTTTGTGCATGTGTGTTAATTTGCTTTATCATGATCCCAATTCTCTACAAAATAGCACAACTTACGAAAACAAAGTTTTGTTCGAATAAACGTTTAAAAAAACGTGAAATCGGGTTTTGCGCATGTGTGTTAAATGAATGCAATATATTTTAAAACAAAAATTAAAACTAGTTAACACAACAAATGGACACTTATAATTTCATATTCTACATAATATGTGCTTCAAAACTTGTCTGACTGATCACTCAACCCCTTTCTAATGTACTTGCCTCTAAACTGTATCCTCAGCAGCACTAATATAACATATATCACCAATATCGTCACTTGAAATCGAGAAATGGCAATAAAATCATACTAAATGTTCTCAAAAAAGGTTAAAACTTGTGTACAAAATACGATTTACGAAACATTCCCAGCTGAATTCTACATTTTACACTTGGGTGCGATTAGATTTTGACCGTTTTGTGTACATTTGTACATTATTTCAAATTTTTGTATTATCTTCACGATTACTTTAAAACCTAAACTAACTCGAATCTTAATATTAACAATTTTAATAATATAAAGCTTAGACAGCGCAAATATCGTTTTACGAGCCAATTGTCACGTGCGCACATCTGACAAAATGATTATATGTTCAAATTTAAGTATTAAATTTAAGCCATAAGCATCTGATTTATCTGAATTTACAATGCTAACCTTTTTCAGCTTGTAACTTTGCAATTTATGCACTAAAATCCTGTCGTTGCCCAGTAGTATACCTGGGAACCTCAGGTTATTATATTTATGTTCATAATCATAGAATAGAGATTAAGCGGAATGACAGCCTGAGCGCGGCCCAGTAACCCAGTAGTTCACATAACCATGTGTCTACGCGTACTGCGTGACGCGCTTGTTTCACAAGTAGAATAGTTGATTGACGATGCGAAGCAAGAATGCTAGTTCGCGCGGCGCGTCGAAGTCCTCCAAGTAGAATAGCCTCTTGCACCGCCTTCGGCGGTCACGCGCTACTGCAAGCGAGAGAGCTCTGGTTAGAGCAAACCCAATAGTGTATTGCCCTACAATTATTTATTTTGTATTGACAATAAAATTTCACACATTTTTATTTTTGTTAAGTATAGGAATTTTTAAAGGAAAACAAATTTTTAGGAAAACAAATTTAAATTTTGGTATTTATTAATAACAATCAAAACATATCATATCATAAAAATAAAGCCGCGCGTTGGTTGACTGCCTCTGTAAGGTGAATAATTTAAGCTTGAAGGTGCGCTGCGCATTTACAGAACCTTATGCGGCGATCACATATTCATGAGGACCTGTGAGCGCCAAAATTAATTTAAAGTTTCTAAAAATCATACATCACTACGAGTTACTCATGCTTTTGGATTATAAGAGTGCGGATTGTCAGGTATTTCATTCATTCATACTTAATCGGTTTAAAGCTGTATATTTAGAACTCACTATTGTTTAAACTACGAAAGCAGAACGTAGATAATGGACAATATACCGATGACAATACCAAGGACCCGAGTGCCGCATTGACTTTTCCGGATCCGTTTTTACCGAAGGCTTATCCACCAGTTACTCATGCTGCATGTATAGTCTGATAATATTTTGTCTTATCTCTAGCAAGCATTCTGTAAATTGAAGTGTCGTATTTATTATTGAAGAGCCAGCCAACCTCCGCATTATAATCTTTTGTGTGCCAAGTTCGTTTATAAAATCTAATCATATAATAAGATTGATCCAATAGTCTATAAGATGAACGGTATATCATAGCTCATCGTTATTAAAATCCGAATGGATGAATTAATCAAGTTATATTCCCTTTCAACACAACTAAATAACAAACAAATGCTTGCTCACCAGTGGTGACGCAATCGTAGGGGCATGCAGTTGGTTCAGATAACTCTCACCCCGACGACGGCGTCGAGAAATTATCAAATTATGCATTTGCGCCATACTGGACACATTTTATATACCGAGTCCAATCACAGAAAGTTAACCAAAAGATAAAAATAAGAGCTCGGATAAAAAATATACTCTGCATTATTGGAATCACATCTTGCTTACGGAATAAGTGTTTGGGGCTCAGCCCTCAAAGACCAACCAAACGATAAGCTGTTCATAACTCAGAAACGTTGTATAAGAATCCTTTTTGGAGACCTAAATGCATACCTCGACAAACATGCCACTTGTGCACGAGCCAGACCTTATACAAAACAGAGGTTAGGAGCTGCTTTTTTCGAAAAAGAGCACACCAAGCCCATTTTTAATCGACTAAAATTGCTTACTGTTCAAAACTTGTACAAATACCACTGTATATCCGAGATATTTCGAATTATGAAATTTCGCACTCCATACTCGTTGTATTGTACTATAGACTCATCAAAACGTGATACAAGCAATGTCATAATCCTCCCAAGAAAAACCAACACTTTTCTTTATATAGCCTCCAAATTGTGGAATAGCATACATAAACGGATTCTAAATGAGAATGGGGAAATCCTCACTACTTCTGTATCTTTGGTTAAATTACGCTGTAAAAGTATCATCCTGGGATCTCAATCCATCAACAATAATAACACCTGGACTTACCACAACTTTCACATCGCCCCTCACTCAGTCACAGACCAAACCAGTTCATCACTGCCGACCCAATATCTATTGAAGTGGCAAAAATTTTCTAGACAAATGACATATCGATATTATTATTGCTGCAGCAGATACAAATACCAACATTATTATATTCCGAAACGTTTGAACTTTGAACCTTTAAATTGACTAGGAAAGTCAATCTTCAACTTAACTTTTACTGTTTTAAACAGATATGATGATATTAACGTAACTTATTATTTTTCTTTTTTACATACTCCTTCTTAGTGTGGTGACTTGGGGTCCATAAATATAACAATACAAGCTGATAAACCAAAAAGAACAACTGGGGTAGGTAGGTAGCCCTGGTGGGTGCGTAAACTTTACGGTCTGCTCTCTCCAAGATCAGCCTGCTTCTCCATTTTACCGTGAAGCCTAATTTCTAGTTTTTATAAAATATACAATGCAATTGCAGGTTTACTAATCTTAATCTACTTAACAACTCAATAGCCCAAGTCACCATACCCGTAGTATATTTCATGGTAATAGAAGAGCTTTAAAGTTTTTCAAATTGTAGCTATAATTGATTTAAATAAAAATTTGTTGTTTTCTTGAAATCTGTTGTTTTCTTGATATCAACAAAAATCACACGCTCCAGACGACGGGGGAAGAGAGGAAAGGAAGTAAGCTGCTGGGCTCAACAAATTTTGATAATTGTAAACAAATTTGTTCTTGTGCCCTATAATAATTTGGTATTGAGGTATGACCCTGTACTGTGCGTGATAGTGAAAATGAAAGTGAATGTGAATCTATAATGCGAACGAAATGAGTTATGGCCAGACGATTCTTCAATTTCAAAATAATAAAGTCAAAGGACTCTGTTTTAAAATACAAGCTCATTCTTATCGAAGTTTAATTCTGTCCATTCTAATTCTTCGTACCTGGACTGTATCTTGAGTAGCTCACTTTTCAGTGTTACTTTAACTAAGTTCGTTGACTTAGTAAAGCTTATCAAACTGTCAATTTTTCGACAGTTGTTGAGTTGTTCCACATTTTTGTTGATTGATAAATGAAAGAGGAGGATGGGTTCGGGGTGATGAACTGGTCTGAACGTCTTTGTGATGGTGATCTGTGGAGTAAAGATAGGAGTGAGATTGGAGATTCTAATCTGACAATTTTGAACAGTTCTAATAGACATGTGTATTTGTACAGGTTGTGGACGGTAAGAAGGCCGTTCTTGTTAAACAACGGCTTTGTATGCTCTTTTTCAAAGAATTCCCTTCCTAGGATTTGTTCATCTATACAACGTGTTCTGGCACATGTTCTAAATTTATCTAGATATGCTTCAAGGTCACCACATAGTATTCTGATACATTTTTTCTGAGTGATGAAGATAGGTTGAAGCATATTGTTACTCGACCCACCCCATACCGATATTCCAAATCTTAGGTGTTATGTGACTCAAATAACGTGTGGTACAATTCTTTATGGTGTTTTTTCGGGATAACGTGTCGTATTCTACTGAGTCTTCCAATCTCACACCTAAGTTTCGAGTTGAGGGCTCTTATTTGAACATCCCATTTTAGCTTTTCGTCAATAATAACACCTAAAAACTTGGTCTCTTGCTTTATTACCGTATTATTCAGAGTTAGTATATATTCTGATTCGTTATCTGCCTCATTATCAGTAGCTGTACGTGACGGATTGAAGTGAATGTAGCAGCATTTCTTTATATTTATATGTAATAGATTGCATTTCATGTACTGGTGTAACAAACGGAGAATTTCGTCTGCTCTTTCATACAGTTTTTTTCTACATTCATCTACTACGAATATGTTTGTGTCATCTGC